TACAGTTTGCATTGTATTACTTTTGTCATACATTTTCCAGCACACAAACTGGACTTTACATCTTTTACAAGGTGTGTGTGTTTTCTCAAGTCTAACGTAGCATGATATAGCTTCTGACCACTAGGTGGGGCTGTTTGACAAACATCAGTGTCTCAGGCAGCTTGATGGGACTCCAGAAGTCCCCCTGTGCTAAATATAATCTGCAGACTGGAGGGTGATTGTAGCCTAAAGTATGATTTGATTGATTTCAAATGCTATGTAAGGGCACTTTAAAGGGAATTTCTTATTCCTACACCTACAGCAATGTCTTGTTGTATTCTGCCCATTATAGTTTCTTTAGCTGTGTTCATATAGAAATGGTCTGTGTTTGGTCTTTGCTTTGATTAGTGAGTGGGCGTTAAATGATGCTAGTATCATAAAGGTCAGGCTGTGTTTGTTTCTGTCAACTTCTAAAAGCAACTAAAACCACAAAAAAAATCTATAAATATCCACTTTCTGTCTTAAACATCCTCTCTCTGTCTCTGTCTGAAGGAGTGTACAAAGAGCTGTGTCTGCAGGTGATCAAGCACAAGTACGAGTGTGAACAACAAGGAGCAAAGCAGCACCTGGAGGTAATTAACAAACATACTGTACAGCAGGCATGTTCAAAGTCTGGCCCGGGGGCCAATTGTGACCTGCGGGTGGATTTTAAATGGCTGCTGTTTCAAAATATACGAGGCTATATGGAAATTGGTTAATCAAGCTAGCTAAATTGCATTTTTTTCCCTTCACCTCATGATGACAGGACTGTCATATAGATTGTAGGCATGCACGTGGGCAGAACTAGTGTGTTTTCACACACACACGGTAAACAAGTAAACATCTGGTTACCTAGCAATGATTAAAAATGAACCATATGATGCAAGCAGCAGCTGGCCCCCAAGTATTCAAATGATCTAATCTAGCTTCCATTAAAAAGTTTGGACACCCTTGCTGTTCACTGCATAGGGACACTGGTACACATTAGCCATTGTCACTGAGCAAAATGAACACATTACTAAAACTGTGTTTGTGTATTTGTACTGTATGTGTGGTACAGAGTGAGCGGATGATGCTGTTCGATACCATGAAGACTGAACTGCTGGAAAAGATAAGAAGACTGGAGGAGGACAGGCAGAATATAGACCTCACCTCAGGTACAGCTAAGATGTCATTATCATTATTAGTCTTGCTGATGTGAGGAACAACATAAATCTACTGTACTTTTGCTGCCATTGTTAAGAAATGAATCTGAACAGTTACAGTTATGTAATAAATGCTGTATTTAATTCCAGAGTGGAGCGATGAGATGAGGGGCAAGAAGTGTAAAAGGAAGAACCTGCTGGGTCGGTCGGAGAGGAAAAAGAAAGTAGCTCTGGTTTCAGGTAAACCTTCCCCTTTTTCTGCGCTCCCCCCTACCTCAACATCCCCTTTTACCTTTCATTCAAAAACATTTAAGCCCTGTTTCCACCAAGCAGTTCGGTACGGTTCAGTTCAGTACTCCCTCTCTGTCTCACAGGGCCTTTCATCGTCTACATGTTGAGAGACATTGACATCCTTGAAGACTGGACTGCTATCAAGAAGGTAAAAAAATGACTAGCTATGTCTCCATTTCAGCTCCCATGTGTCTCAGCTGTTGCACTACACTCTCATTTCAGTGTTGACATTACACTAAATTACAATGATAAGTAACTGACAGTCACAATGCTACACTACATACACACTCCAACAAATAAACCAGCTAAATGTGTGATTTCTCTGTGTGCATTTCAGGCAAAAGCAGCACTGTCGCCACTAAAAAAGAAAGTTGAAAGTAAGTCTACCTGTCACCTGTTTGCATGTGCAAACACCTTACTGTTGGGAGATTTTCTCTGTAACCCATTCTCATTTTGTCTTTCAGAGCGGTGATAGGAGGAAGATTTTACCGAAGACCAATGGCAAAGAAACCAAACTTCTCACACACACACATTCCCAGCTACTTCCACTAACAGTCACGGTTTTGTCCCCACTGCATCAACCAGAAGATTACTGTGTTGTTGTTTTTCCTGCACCCTTGACCCCGGCGACCAACCTCCCTATTGCTTGTTTATTATCTATTGCTATTTAAAATAAGTTCTTAATGATATGGCGACTATGTATTTATAGAATGATTTATAATGGTGATTAAAATTTTAATCTTTTGTGACACAAGGGTTTGCTTGTTTGTGCGATCAGTTCCTTCTCAGGTGTTTATGAGTGCACACACACACAAATTCACACACAAATTTTTTTCATGTCCTGCATGCAATGATAAAAGTAGTACATCAGTTTTATTTAATAAAGGGTCAGTTAATGTTTATTGCATCAGTTGGATATTTGAACATTTTTTAACTGTCATTCTTTAACAGATTAAATATTAATTAACCTATTTGCTCCCTTTGTTTTTATCTTTATAGCTGCTACAGCTAGCTAACAGCCTGTGCTCAACAGTTTCTGGCTCCCCGTTTCCATAGGAACAACATCAGGGAGCAATGTGAGGCATTCAGGGATACCAGGTTAAATGTTGGGAAAAAAACTTATCTCATTTAGTTCATGATGTCATTCCTCAACAGACATCGGTTGCTCTTTATCAACTTTAAGCCACTTACCTCACATGCCTAATGATAGTGTTGAGTTTAAATCAAGCTTAATGAGGAGAGGATATGTTCAAGGACAGAAGGAGACGAGTGTATTTGGACAGTGTTTATTTGACATGAAAAGTGGGAAATAGGAGAGGGATCAAGTTCTTGTACGTATTCACGTTTCACATAGCAGCCAAAGCCAATAGGAACAAGAAAGAGCTGTCAGTATTGATAAAGTGCTTTTTTCTTTCTTTCTTTTTTTCTCTGACTCTCATCACTGGGCATCTTTTCCCTTCCTTCTCTCTCTCTGTCTTCCTTGCCTCCCTCATCCATTTCTCCCCCTTCCCTCAGAGTTTCTAGACTTAAACCCCTTCTTCTCACCTCCTCACCCCCACTTTCCACCTTTAGTACAAATCCAGTGTTCACCATCACCATCACCATCCCTCTCTTCCTCATTCCCCTCACAGATGCTTGCTGAGTTTACGCGCCTGCCTCTCCCTAGCCTCGAAGGCGGCTTTGGTATCCATCAGCTCGTCCAGCTGCCGGCGGATTCGCGCCATGTCGAGCTGGGTGGACTCGCACTGCTCCCTCAGGGCGGCCGACTCCACCCTCAGCTGCGTGGCGGCTATGGAGAGCTGCTCGCTGCGTTCGCGGCACTGCATCTGCATCCTCTTGGCGTCAGTGAGAAGGGACTCCACGCTCACTGCCACTGATTCACACTGGTTCAGAGACATGTTCTGTGCAAAGATAGAGGGGGGGGGGGATGGAGGTCAGAGGTCAAAACACGAGCTAGACATTGTACAATGATTAGCTCAAGGACATTTAAGCAGACAGATGCTTGAAAAGAGTCTTTTTGTCCATTCGGAAGGCTCTTTATTCAGGACTCTGCTCTCTATACCTTTTGTCTGATCTGGCAGCAAACTACAGCTATCCTGCCAAAAAAAAAAATTAGATGAAGTGAATCAATAGCTTGCAGTCAGAAGTCTCACAGATCAACAGGTTTTAAACAGAACATTTGATCTGTGGAGAGTGAAGTAGCTTAAAGAGGCTTATCATGGCTTAGCTCAGGCTACAGTGGCCACTGCTGCTCTTCTCTGTATTCCTCTTTTATCCCTGTTCTTCCATCAGTCTCTTTTTATCTTCTTATTTAATTTACTCTTATTTTTTCCTCTCGGACATGTTTGCATCCACACAGCTCATTTTAAATCAGTAGATCAATAGAATAGCCAAATAGGTGTGAAAAGGTCTTACCAGAGACTCCAAAGTCAAATTAATCACAACCTTTGTGGTCTTCTTCTGGGACTCGAGTTCAAGACAGTCCTCGATGTTCTCCAGCGTTCTCTCTCTTTTATAGTTGTCCTTTAGACTTCCTGTGCATATTTAAGAAAAAACATACAGTAACTCCAGGTTTGGATTCTAATTTAGATGTAGATTGTGGAAGTAGCTTTTGGAAGTTGATTTACAGACCAAGTGAAGTTCTTCCTCCAGTGTGCTGGTATGTCTTCCCTATATTGTTTTATCTCCGTTCTCTGTCCCCATGTGTCTCCTTCTTTCCAATCCTGTCTCTCCCTCTCTCCCTCCAGTGATTATTATCTTCTACCTCAGGGCTCAAGTGAGGTCAGGTAATCCACAGAGATTAGACATTTAAGGAAGGAGTAGGAGTCATGTTGTAATAGCAGGAGTAAGCTGTCTATTTTGATCTGTCAGGTGACCACTGGGAACTCGCTCAGTCACACCTCGTTCAATTTTTTAAGAAATCTCCCGAGTCTGATGGTCGAATATTGATCAAATATTTGTCAGTATGCAGCTACAGTATGTTTTACTTCACTGCCTGTGCACAGATTAACCTATAAATGCATTTTTCATGGTGCATTTAGATTATTACCAATATAAATAAAGGTCTGAATTTATTTTGGGGTTTTCTGATATAGACAAGTTCTTGGGTTTGGTAAGATTGGTGATCGGGTGCTAATCACTGACGAATATCACAGCCAAGCAGTGGTTTGTTGGGGTTAGCTGTCCTGGGCAAAATTAATAAACTGGTGGGACCTATTGGTTTTGTGAGGCTGTAGCAGAAACAGGCTTCTGATGGAAGGGAAAAAGGCAACATGAAGTATGCTTTGTGCTAATTTCTTCTGGAGGAAATGCGCTGTTTTGTCTTGAATCTATCCCTGCTGATTAGTACTTGAATTGGATGGCCAAAATAAAGCTTAATTGCAATGGAGGAGCATGAACTGACACAAAATATACTCAGTTTAACACCCATGTATCCCTGGTACAATTCCTAACTTGTTATGAACCAGCAGAGGGAGACACAGTTCATCATATCTGTCTCCATGTCTCCATTCCCATTGAAAAACATTTGCAGTACACACATTTGGGTCTTTGTGTTTTAACTCTTTGGTTTATTGGTTCAAAAAGGAGCACACCACGTGTCATCACTACAAACCAAGTGGCTGAGATCTTGACATACAGACATTTAAGGTACATTAACTCCTAAGGTGCAATATCCCAAACACAGTATCACTGTTGATGAGCACCTAGACAGGATATTAGATGTAAAAGTTATGGTGGGAGCAAATATCATACCTAAAAGTAAAAATCCATTTATGTGTTGCATAATTTAATATAAGGTTACTGTGGTTGTTTTGAGCCATAGCAAGTCTTTCTATAAGCAGTGGTTATGTTCACATAGTGTGACAGACTGGACTATCCAAGATCACATGGCAAACATTTCCAGACAAAATGAACAGAAACGACAATCAGCCTCAATGTCACATAAAATAATTAATTATAAATAAAGAACAGAGGCAACTCATAGAAATAAAATTAGTGGGCACAGAGTGGAACTTTTCAAAAAAAAAAAAAAAAAAAGACTTTAGGCTTTTGAGGGCTGTGTTAATATTTGTAAAATGAGTGAAAATGTTTTTAACATAGGACACATCTGCCAGTCAAATCAAAAATCCAAAATTGTAGCACACTGATATAAAAAATGAATGCCTGCAATAAACATTGTCCTGCTTCTTGTTATGTAAACAAATAGATATATTTCTGTGTGATCCAGTGGTCAGACATTTGAAGTGGCTTTTGTGAGTACATGTGGGAAACAGGTAAATGTTCTTATCAGCAGTTAAAGTGGCAGTCTGTGGCAGATATGCCCTGACAGAAAGGCTTGACAACATTGTTGTTTTTAGTGAGGGACACCAGCTTGACGAGGTGGCCGAGTGGTTAAGGCGATGGACTGCTAATCCATTGTGCTCTGCACGCGTGGGTTCGAATCCCATCCTCGTCGACGCGCAATGCTTCTATTGTATCACAACACTCGGGAGCAAATAAAGTTAAACACAATAAATAACTGTGACAAATATGAACACTGAATGTGTCTACCTGTTTTCCACATCTACTCCCACATAATCATGTTGTGCTAATGTACGTGTTTCTGTAAGTCATCTTCCACGCCCGTCCTCACTGTGGTCTTGCGGGACGGTTGAAAAATGGCTCAGTCTCTGCAGCCGTCACCCCCGCGTCACCAAAAAGCCCCCCGGCCGGCCCACCGTACCCTCCATACCCTCCTGGAATCAACTTTGACCCTGAGCTCTGACGCCTCTGGACGAGCACCAGAACCCCGATGATAAGCCAGAAGAAGAAGTTGACCCACACTGCCGTCTGAGGAGGAGGAGGAGGAGGAGATGAAACATGACACACAAGATGGACTTGAAGCTCTTTCATCTGAATCTGAAGTTTTTTTTTTTTTACATATTTTTTTGTTCTTTGGATGTAAATAAGGTGCCAACTTTCATTTAAAAAAGCATCAACATAGAGCTTGTTTAAAAAAACAAACAGTGCCAGAGGAGGACCCCCCCCCCAATAATAGTCCCTGCTAAGCCCTGAATGTCCTTAAATCCTAGAAACAACCCTGTGTACACCTGACCTGTGCAGGGCTGCTGCAGCTGGATTTGCCTCTTGGCAAAGATGAGTGAGGACAACAATTAACAGTTTATTAACGGGCTGCTTGTCTCCCGTCATTTTGCAAAAGTGGCCCCCGGGCAGAGCAAGCTGAATATCCCCGCACTAGTGGTTCTTTATAGCTGTTTTAAGAATGAACGCTGACTGAATCATGTCCAATTCATTCACACATCTTGTAAAAACTAGCTCTCTGATCACTTTTCTTTTAAACTCTCTTATTCCCGCAGATGTTAGGCAACTCTTCCATTCATTAAACTGAAGAACAATGACCATATTGCTCTTTTTTGCTGTATATTATTAAAAGGAACATTTGGGGTATATAACATGTAGTATAACATAATGCAAAGAGTTACAAGAACTGGTTCTGTACCCATAAAAAGCAACGGAGGAAGCCTACTGACCTCAGCTTTATATAGACTGTTGTAGAACCTTTCCCCTTTAAGTGGGCTGACCCAATTCTTGGCCTGGGCATCTTCACATCTTCAGAGACAGAAATAGATCGCATGTTAGAAAGTTACTGATCATAACATTTCAAACCAACATTTGTGTCCTGTCAAATAGGTGTTAGCTGACTGGCTGCCAAAGTTCCTTCAAAATAATCATGAAATATCAAACATGACCACTTAGGCTTAAAAGTTATACAGTAAGCATACTTATAAGGCTGTAAAAAAGAGATGAAGACAGTAAAACAGTTCTGAGTACAAAACGAAAAAGCAAGCAAGCATGAGGGTAAAGCTCACAGGGTTTCAAAAGTTGTGTTGACTTTCATTTCTGACTTAGTGTGGACAAGCCTGTGCATGTTGCGGTCGCACTGTGAGGAGTGTGTGAGTGTGTGTGTGCCTGTGCCACCTTGTGATGTTGGGAACGCTCTCTATGACCGACTTGCAGAGCGAGTCGCGTCCGATCTTCAACATGCACCCCGAGATGAGCAGGAAGAACAGGAAGAAGCCACTCGCAGCTATAATCAGGTTCATCCCCAAGCGCTCCCTGTGGAGAACAGAGTAAACAGAACAAGGGTGAGAACGGCGGCGAGCGTTCTGTGAAGCGATGGAAAACAGAAATGGAAGAATAAAGTGTTATCTCAACCTCTGAACAAATGAGGAAATGACGTCAAACTACTGTATGTAACATGTGACTATGTTACAATGGCATGTCCTCTGTGACCAGGTTTTGATTTCTGCTCCATGTTTGTTTTTCCCTCCTCGCCCGTTTTGCAGCCTGAACTGTTAGACCAGTGTCAGAGAGGCCATTCAGTCTGTAAAACTTGTAGCAAAACCTAATTAAACCATCCTGCTGACACACCCAAAATAAGTTTAAAAGTGTGGGTTGACGTTGTTTCATTGTTTCACGCTAACAAGGATACAACTCTGGAGTAGGGACAGACAGTGTAATGGCTGATACAAGTTAAAACAAGCATAACAGCAGTTGTGCTATTACGAGAATTGTGACACTTCTGTTTTCGTGCAGTTGCACGGTTTCTGTACATGCATTTATAGTAAAATGCTTTTACACATGCCTGGCTGAGATGGCTGTTATGGGTGGGAAAATACTGTATGGGATATTAATATCAGCTTTAATACATGATATTCATTTTCCTCTCGATTTTGAGTGGAAACATTGACTAGTGCCAATTTTTTGAACTTATATCAGCTTTTATCACTTAAAAGTTTCTTGTGTGATCAATTAAGATTATTACAAGCTGTGTAACATTTGCGTTCACTTAGTTGGCAAATAGTAAAGTTCAAATATAAGATGATTACAGAGTTACAGGAGAAGTTTCAGTTTTAGTCAACCCATTTTAACAAAGGACCAAGCCCCCCCCAATATAGTGATAAAAAATATAAAGGAAAAAAATTGCAATGCTACAACAGGCAAGCATGCACCAATGTCCAAAATAATCTGTTTTGCATCTGGTTTGCTCAAGTGGTGTTGCCATACCAGCTTTTGCTCAACAGCTGTGGGCAGCAGGTACAATCACTGTCAAACACTGTACTGTCTCTCTGTTTCCTTACTTTCAAATGTATTAAAAGTGTAAAACTAAAATGTAATATGAGTGTTAGGTAGGCTATATCACTGTCAACTGTTATAGTTTTCGTAAAGAGTTGGTATGTCATAAACAATAATATAAAAAAGTCGTAAAAAGACATAGTGTGTGCACTTTCCCCCGTGCTGCCTTCAGTCATGTGCTGGCTCCCTAAAAAGGCACTCAGTCATCCCCTGCTCATTGATTTTTGTTTTAAGTTGGTTTAGCTGGTGAGTTTCTACAAATGTCTCCTAAGGGTTGGGTCACACAAGGTTTGGCCCTGCTTTAAGGATTCCAACAGAGTAAGCAACAGAATTCAACAGAAAGACAGAGGAACTCACAAACAATGGCTGTTTCCTCTATCAGGGCACTGAGAGCTAATGGTTTTTGATGCCATACACAAACACGTGTGCAATTACCTTTTGATTTCCCCTTCGATGCAGAAGGAGTACAGCCAGTACAGAGACAGTGAGAAACACACCACTGCCACCAGGACTGATATGGCAGACACAAAGTAGCACAGAGAGGAGGAGCTGGAGGACTTGATATCAATGAGGCTTGCTGTAGCATTGTAGTTGACGAGTCCATACAGCATGCACCGACCTCCAAAATTACCCTGAGAGATAAAGAGATTTTAAATTTTATTTTTGTACTTCTGTTGTTTCTTTTTTGTCATTTTGTTTCACTCAACAGTCTCAGTTTAGTCACATTGTTCCCGTGACTTCCATTTTGTCACATTGCTGTAATTGCACCAACAAAATACAACACACATAAAGTGCAGCATCTGACTTCTATAAAAGAGTGGAGAGAATAATTGGGCACGAGGACCATCTGGTCACATGATGAGAACAGTATCTGGACACATGACTCTGTTATTACCCGCGCGCGCACGCACATCAAAACAATTAGGTGCACGCGCATTTTCACACGCTCATGTATTTCCTGATAGAGAAAGTGGAGTTAAACGGATGTTAAGCCTCAAAATAAATGTTATTCTTAACTGTGCCTTTAGCTAGAAGCTCATTAAATTAAGTGGAATAAATTGGACACACAGTGATACAATACTGCGCGTGCTGATGATAATAGAGTTTGCGTAATTTTCTTTAGTGTTTTTGATAAGGAAAGTAGTTCCCTTTAGGAAACAACACATTGTGATGTAGGAACTAGCCTAAAAACACAGATATAATATAAAGATGTGTCTGAGACTTCCTACAACACTCACAGTTAGCAGGAAATCAGAAGAAAGTGAAAGCGCGTGTCTTTTTTTTTAGCTGCTCGCGCCCCACTACTAACAGCCTACGTAACATTTACAGAAATATGTTAAGATGCGCACGAGCGTAAAAAGGGATTAAAAATTTGTTTTGGCCCCCAAAAGCAGCGTACTGTGTTCATTTTAGAACCGAGATATATCGAAAACATAATTAACTTTGAATACGGTAAAATAAATGGCACAAATACAGCCTCTATGTTGTTATTTTTTCCGTTTTCACTGCCCGTTTTCACGTTCTGGAACTCACGCGCGCACTGAAAAAGTGAGTCTACCCGGAAGAGGATGGAGATAAAAGAAGTTTAAGGATTAGTTTGGTTTATTAATGTATGGATGAAGTCACCTGGACAATGGTGACGGATGCGGCGGCAACAATCCCACAGACGAAGCAGCAGGCGTACAGACCCAACTCCAGCAGCAGCAGCCCCGTTAACGCCATCGTCCTGCGGTCAGGTTCGTGTCTGGGAGGACACCAGCGTAAAGGCAGCCACAGTTAGATAAATAACTTCCGGTATGGTCCTTCAAAGTAAAATCTTGGATGATAAAAGCGATAAAACGTTAATTGACTTGAGCTTGTAAGGAGGAAACAATTAGCATGTCTTGAAGAGTGCGCAGTAGAAACAGGGCGGACTGGTGTCAAACACAAGTGGATAAATCAATTAAAAGTTCCAATTAAATGTTCACGATATGCCAGAAAATATTATACACAGTTAATTAAAGTTTTTCATTGCATGACTGACTGGAGTTTAAGGCCGTATTTTAGCAGTCGTTTCGTTTATCACTGTGTAACTGAATATCCTTGAGGACAGACAGACAGTCAGTCATAAAGATGTGATATTCAAAACAAAATCTTTCAATCTTATTGACTTGAAAGTTGTTGTATTAGGCTATGAAAAGACTGAAAAACATCATTTAAAATTCTGTTAATAAAGCCAGATGAAGCCATTTTGACTCGCACTACTCACCTGTCTGTTCCTAATGCAGTGTATGAAATGTCACGCTTATATTTTGAAGATAAGTGTATTTAGTTTCCGGCGTTATTTTGGCCGTTTTTGCGTCCCTACAGTCCAGCTGCTCGAAGCGACAATCCACCCTTTACGATTCCCTCCAGGTTTTAGATTCGGTGGAGTTTCTTTTGAGCTCCAGCAGAATGCGTAAAAATCGTGTATTTGTCACACTGTCGGGTTGGGGAGCTTCAACAGTGGTTGTCATACAGAGCAATTTTCCTCGGGTCAGCAGCTGGTTTCAACTGATCCTGACCCAGAAAGATAAACTTAAAGCTGTGGGAAACAGAAAGAAGGGATGATGCATCAGCTTTTTATTTATGTAGTAAATGTCAAAACATTATGCAAAAGTCATATTTCTAAGCAGGATGTCACATGCAGTTTGAGTGTAATAAAAGATGAGGTGGCTAGACTCAGTCAAAGGTTGAGCTACTTGATCTAAAGGCATGTCATCCGGGTGTGTGTGTGTGTGTGTGTGTGAGAGAGAGAGAGAGAGAGAGAGTGATGGCTGCAAGTAGCACTTCATCCCCAAAGTGCTTAATCAAACCTTGTGACTTATGTCATATGATCCATGCTGGGCCGATATATGTAACACAATTTTCAAGTCTTCTGCAGTAGAAATGCTAATTCCTGACACACATCCAAACCCACTGGGAGCTTGTTGCATCATTCAAGTTTGCACAAGAAATGTGTTTGACCTCAGACTGCACAAATGAAACAGTAGTCTGCTGTAAGGATGTTTTTATGTGGTTTATTTTCTATTTTCAAGAGACTTGTCACATAGTGAACAAAGGCTTCTGCAAGCAGAATAAAGCTACTGCAGATTCCCTTCAGAGCTAATCACTACAGTATTTAGAGCAGGTTTTTTTTTTTTTTTTTTTACAGATTTACACAAATAGTCTGTATAGAGTCTGTAATGTGTGCCAATTCTGTGTCAGGCCACTGAAGACTTCTATAGATGTTTTGTGCTTTGAGGAGTTCTGTGAAAACTGTGAGCACATTCTTGTTGTGGTGCTTTCCTGATTCCACAGGCGATTGAATTGTCTGAAGGGGAAGCACACAAAGAGATGGCAAAATGATATTCAAAGAAGCTATTAAAGCTTCAGCATCAGTCACAGCAGTATGATAAAGCTGGTGTCAGAAATATTTTATTATAAAATAAATAGAGACCAGCTAATAATAGCAAGAACATGTTGTTGATTTTGATGGCTAAAATCTGACCTGGTTTATTCTCAAGTGTTGACAGTCAACAGTAAGTTAGTTGGGGAATGTTTGCATTTATATTCTGTGTCGTGACACCAATGCCTTCCTTCAAAATGCCAAACTAAAGCTAATAATGTGTGGAGCATGTGTCTAGGTTTAACCAGGTTCCCTGTGACAAGAGCCGTTGTCCAGCTTGTTAGTCAAAAACAGGCTTTTCTGCAGGACTGTGGTTTGGATACATAGCTAGCATACCAGAGAAACTGTGTGTGTGTGTGTGTGTGTGTGTGTGTGTGTGTGTGTGTGTGTGCGTTGCTGTCTCAGGTGGCTAGACTTAGTCCAGGGCTGAGCCTCTTACAAAGCCATCATCCAAGCATTAGTGTTAGCGAGAATGTGTGTATGTGTGTGTTTTAGTGCGGTAGTGTTGTTAGATTAAAGGCTTAAAGTATGATGGTATTAGTGCTGGCTACCAGGAGAGAGAGTGTGTGTGTGTGTTTCGTGTGTGTGGTGTGAAACCAGACATCACAACACAAGCCTGGTATCACTTTAATTCACTGATAAGTTTAAACACCAAAATTCACCAAAGTCCGAATGAGGCACAGATCTAAAGAATATGTACAATATAAAAGAGAGACCGATAAGAGCCGTGAGAGAAACAGAAGAGATTACGATACAAAATGTAATGCAAATATAGGAAACATGCACCTGAAAACACATCACAAATAGTTCACACACGGGCTCGGTCTCACAGAGGTGTGATTAAGCCAGAGGAGGCTTCATCTGGAGCAACACTTTGATGAACAGAAGTCCACTCTGGGTCAGAGTCATGATATACAGTAGATAGAGTGAAAGTTTCCGCAATACTTCCAGGAAACAAATGTCGATATATACTAACTGTGCAGCTGGCCTATTTAGTTTAACATCACGTTAAAGAAATACAAAAACAGAAGTGAATATTTCAACAATAAGAGTACAGCAAGGAAACAACAAAACATTAATTTTACTATTTTAAATTCAATATAATGTCCCTCTTGGCAGAACTTTACATTTTGATTACATTGTGCCATCATGTACAAAAGCTATAATAATTCCTTATTGAACAAAGAGATGGAAATACAGGCAAAAATAAATCAACCACTGCCCTTAAATTTCTCTCAAACAACAGCAATATATTAGGTGACAGTAGTTATGATTGGTCCTCATGTTTTCTTTAAAGATTCCCAAGACTGATTTCTCTGCTGGATACATGACAGCTTTGTGTTGGTGGGGCAAACAAACAAGCAAACAAAAGAAAGAGGAAAGCATCTCTGAGCATGGAGAAACTGTAAAAGCTGCAGGGCACACTGAACAAAAAGGTACCTGTGACCCTGCAGGGAAGCCTACACACACAAGGCAGCGATTACAGTGAGTTTCTAGCAAACAGTCAGATTCAACGTTTTGACAAGGCTCTAATGAAAAACTGTGAACACCCCCTGAGGGAGAGCAGTGGGTAAATGTTTGGGTGATAGTTGGGTGCTGCTTGTGCAAAATTACCAACAAATACAAAGCAATATTACTGCTTTTTAAACAATATTTATCAGGAAGCTGGATTTTTTTCTTTGTAGGAACAGTGCGCTCTGCTCACAGTTAAAGTGACAATGAGGAAAGTAGGGCATCTAATCTAAGAAAATTTGGTATGTGGATTCTTTGTCTGCAAGTATCTGAAACGTATATTTGTGCATTGCCCATGCTCGGTAAACAGATATCAGCAGTACATTTGATTACTGAGGGGGTGCATAGTATGGCATTTTTTCTGAATTGCAATCATTTGCAAGGGACTGCCAAGGAATGCATATTATCTTTTCAAGTGAATGAATGATGTGTGGTCTCATGGTAACACATAATGCACAACAAGTATGCATATTTCGGTGAAGTTGTTATTAAATCCAGTCCATCAGTCTATCCCAGCTCTGTGCCTGCAGCAATTTTTATTTTCACGACAGTTTTTGTCAATCCAGTGTAGCAGCACTGTGATTTCACAAGTCAGCTGACTGGTGAAGAATGTTGGGAAAGGGAATTCCTGCTCTGTCCGTTTTAATTCAATGGTATGGTCACGTTCCTCGATAAGTGCAGTCACAAGACTCTTATCACAGCACTGAGGATGTCAGAATACCATTCACTCTGTGAGTGTCTGTTCATTTAAGCGTCTGTGTGTCTTTCCCTGCACACACTGTCAAACAAAATACTTCTATCATCTAAAATTATCTTTTTTTTGTCTCAGAATGAATGCATTATGAATGAATTGCAGAACTGAATGGATTCCTTCACACCACTTCTCACAGTTTGTGAATGCTTTAACACAATTCCCTTTCTTTTAGTGAGTCTGTGTGTTTATGCATTTATTCTTATACATGTGGATCAATCATCAGCCAACAGGACAACCTGGCAGTCGGAAGGCATCTGGTACAGGACTGTCAAGCTTACAAATGATTTTATAGATTCCTTTCTTCCAGCAGGGGTCGCTGTCTCTCCCAGTCCAGATGGCTGAGTAAAACTCCCTCAGAGCCACTTCTGATACCTCGATAAACCTCTCTGGGACCTGCAGACACAAATATGGACGTCAAAGGATAAATACTTCAAGGTCTACAGATGTAGGGCTTTAAAATTCTGGACACAATTATACATCTAATCTTGCAAGACTAAAATTATCCTATTATTTTATCTCATACAAGCTACTGTACTTCTATTTATTTTAACAAGATTTACAGGGCAGTGAATGGTTCTATAACCTCAATAGGAAGCAGATGACAACGCATGTTATGATGGCTGTTCAGAATTTTAGCATCATTGTTATTAAAGTCCTTTCACACCTACAGTGCACCCACGCAGATGTTTTCACAATTTCACCGATTGGATCTCTCTGGGAGTATACAGACTGTACCTCATTGATATAACCCCTTTTCTCCTGTTAGATACAATTTCTTATCCGTGCGTGGAATCTGGTGACCTTACGTGATAGGATATTGTAGCAAGAAGATAGAAGAAGAATAACGTTAATGAGTGCTCTATTCCATTAAGCGTCACCGAAAGCCATGTCATGTGAAAAAGCATGCATAATACTTGGGCCCTGGAACTGTTAATGGAGCGTGGGCATAATTAAGGTTATTAATTACACGTGCTCATCCTGGTGTACGACATGTCAGAATATGTGGAGCTCAGCTCACAGTTTCAGCCTGAGCAGAGGTGTAATCAGCCAGTAAACTCCTAACACCTGTATGGGTGAGCACAGACCCTAACAACTGTATTTTTGGAATCTCATAATGAGCTGTATGACGTCACACGGCAGAGGTGATTTAGTGTTACTGCCACTGGTCTACTTCATATTTAGTCGGGGTTAAAATGTCTTCAAATTTCTTCCCACAAGTGGCCGGTTAGCTCAGTTGGTTAGAGCGTGGTGCTAATAACGCCAAGGTCGCGGGTTCGATCCCCGTACGGGCCAGGAAGATTTTGCAGTGAAATCATGATAGGTAAGTTGAACACTCATCATGTAAGTACCACCATCATCATGAAAGGAAAACATCCTCCGACGTCGGTACTATAAGTGGTCTCTTGAATAGACTCAATAGAAACCATTACCGAACATAGGCAACTGATGAGCTTAACTCGTAACTCTGCCAAAGGTGTTGTAATGTGTTATGAAATACCTTCAGTATTCAATGGCAATGTTTGAAGTGAATTTCCGTCAAGGCAAATGGAAAAGTAATTTACAATGTTCACCTTTATGGAAATTTTAATAACAATAAGATAATTATTTCTATTATAGTTGTCGTTTTCATTAATATTACATTCATATTTCCTCTAATAAATGACTCATGAGTGTTAATACTAGCTATGAAGAAATCATCAATCAATACGAACCATACGTCGTGATTATTGATAATGATTTATCACAAAAATCCTTGGTATATTGGACAGAAACTCCAAACTGAATCAAAGTGTCAGTATTGCCTCCTTCATTTCAGTATGTTGCTCATTGGGAGTGTCAGTATTGTATATGGATCGCCATTATATGATAATATAATGATATTGTTTTGCAGTGCCCTCATAATGTGACATTTACACTCATCAACAACAATTTTAACCTTTCTGGAGATTTTACTAGCACATTCATATAAGATTTTTACCACTACTTTGCTCCTATTATTATCATTAATTTAATTATCTATTTAATATATTATTTATTTTACATTCATATTTGTTTGAGTATGTTAAAACTAGCAATGGAGGGGTTATCCATCAAATGATGATAATGAGTGAATGACAAAAATCCTTACTTTGGCTGATGGGAGAGTTAAATTCTCAGTGTCTGAATCACTTGATTCATTTCAGTCTTTAGCCTATTTCAAATTTGCTTATGGATTGTCAACATACGACGTCTGCTTGAATAATAATTCGGCAGTAGGCGGCTATAGGGGAGTATCAAACATGGCCGGTTAGCTCAGTTGGTTAGAGCGTGGTGCTAATAACGCCAAGGTCGCGGGTTCGATCCCCGTACGGGCCAAAAAGATTTTAGAATGGATGCTTGGTATGATGACATTGATGAACAAATACTGCCATTACTACAGAAAGAAAACACAATGCTAACATATCCCCAATAGAAACTAGTACAAAGTTCGAATTCATGTGCTGTGCATTATGTCACTTAATCTTTAAAATATTCTCAGGCCGACTTTTTAAGTAAACTTGGGTTTAGAGAAACAAATTTGAAATTGAACAAATTTACCATTTTGACTTCGTGGACATTTAACCAGCCTATTTATATTATTATTATCATTATTATTATTATGGTATTTTATTTTTATTTATTTATTAAATGCATATCTTTAAATTAATTTCTTATTTAGAATGTTAAAACTAACTATATGGGGGTTGTCTATCTCAGCCACATTTTCTGGAACAACACCATTTGCCAAATTATCATTTACAATGAACCATACATCATGGTTGATATTGACTGAATAACAGAAGATCCTTATTGCAATGTCTGTTATCATAATGATTAATGAAGGGACGGCCATCAATCATCAATTTAGAGACATGGCCGGTTAGCTCAGTTGGTTAGAGCGTGGTGCTAATAACGCCAAGGTCGCGGGTTCGATCCCCGTACGGGCCAGTGCACTTTTGACTTACATCTGGTGCCCATTAAGTAGCACTTCATCCTTGTTGATCCAGAATTACACATTCATCATGTATCAGGTAAACAAGAAAGTGTAAGTGCACGGTGCACTCAACATATGACACAAAAGAGTGTACATCTGGAAACACTATCAAATATCATTAGTGAGAACTAAAACACAGTTCCTGCCCCATCATTTGCACAGTGTGCACCCTAACATTAACAGGTGCATGCAATAGCTACTACATTTTCACACATGCCTGTGCAGAGACTACCATAAATAGGCTTTTTATATCACAGCAGTTGAAAGACATTCATACATCAAGCACATTTAAACAAGGTTTAACTCTTTAATAGTGATGATTTAAGACAACTAAGCCTGAGGAGGATGAATTCAACACAGCTTTAGTTTCCATTCCATTTAATGAAAAGACTAAAATAAGCAGGAAAAACACTGTATGTATGTGGACAGAAACTCTCATGGTAGTAAGTTAAAAATAAAAATTGATTGGCCCGTCTTTCATCTTGTCTTTCCCTGACATCAGCTTGTCAGCTATGGTGAAAATATAACATCCCAGACAGCACAAGTCATTCTTTATTGGATAAACCAAGGCTGTGTCATTATAGACAGCAGTTAGAGTGTGTGATGTATATCCTGTTCATATATTATTTCATACATTATAAAATAAATACCTTGGGGTGTCCTTGTGTTTACGGAAAATGACATACTGCCATTAAATAAAACTTGGAGCAAATCAGATTCAAGGTACCCAGTCACACTCTCCCCACACTGACAGAGCTATACGGTATTAAAGCATCCACCCAAGGACTATAACCATGCTGCATACTGACACACTCCCCTTACCTGGTAGACGTTACTTTTATTGTAGTGCATGTTCAGTATGCGGTAAAGCTCTGTGTCACGGCCCACTCGCAGCTGACTCTCTCTGCCCAGACGAGGTGCACCATCCCTGGATTGCACAAAAAATATATTAATATTTAAAATATTGAATATATTATTCAACTAGTATTATTAGTAGTGGAATTTAAGTCCTAGTTATTTAATTCCTATTTAATTCCTGAGGGTGTTCAATGCATGCACTATGGCGAATGTTGACCACTTAAACCAAAATATCAATTTCATATACACTTACACTAACAGTTGTAAACCAGACCCAACACTGATAATTGTCATAAATAGGAGTAGTGGTGGGAATTGATGGAAATTCACATTTAATATAACTCATGAATATAAAATATGATCTGTAATCTCTTTGCCACAAGCATCTCTTTGCTTGGCTGATAATAGGACAACTGCATGACTGTCAGAGAGGAAGTGATGGCGCTTCACACTGTTGCACAAAACAGGAAAGCCTGCAGCATGATACAACAAAGTTTTGTCACTCTGGTTTTTGTAATTCTTTCTCTCTACAAATTACCAAATGTGTAGGACAGCATATGCACAGTATCTGATGCATAAATCAGACAAAGTGTCAGCTAATGTAAAAGCCCAGTGCCAACATGCAAGTTCCTAAACCCAGTCAAACAATGGAAGTTTTGCAGCAAATGAGTTTGACGTGAACCAGTGCCAACTCAAACCAACCGGGTGAGAGCCTCGCGGACAGCCTGTCGTGCAAAGCGCTCCATCTGGATATAGAAGAACTCTCTGAAGTTGCTGAACCATTTAATCATCTGGGAGGTCACGCAGCGGTTAAACTAGACAGCGGACAGGAAAACAGCAGGACAGGAAGTGAGCAGGTGAGGACAGCGAGAGAGGGGTGCTTATTAGATGATTTCGTTTGGCATTAATAATTATATAAAAACATTTGACTTCAAAGAGAGTTTTAAAAGCCAGTAGCTCAGAGAAAGAGAGAAATTGTTTTGATGCTTCATAATGGAAAATGTTAATATTCACTAATTAATATCATAATAATACATGAGAACAACATTTCTTTCTTTATTTGTAAACTCCACCTTGGACTGCACTTGATCTGCTGATATTAGTTTTTTACAGATGTATGGGTATTAACAGATATTCAAACACAAATTACATATTTATTTCCAAACTCAAATTTTATGTAAATATGACCTTTGATTTTGCCTGTCAGAGTCAAAATATTGTCATTTGTCTTTGATTATTCATAATAATTGTATTTCCAATACAATTATTATGAATAATTGTATTTCCAGTAGTTTCTAACAGCTATTAAGACTGTTGTAAAACAACCCCAAACATTTCATCAAAGCAATCCCCGCTCTGACTCCAGTTTAGAGCTCAGTCAGTTCAAGCTAAATTATCTGACTGGAATATTTCCTTCACTTCAATCTATTGCTTTTTAAAAATTCCCAGAATTGCTTGTGGAAGGGTTGCCCATAAACAAATACAATAATATGAAAGGCTAACAGCACAATGACTTCCGATCTGATGGCCACATGACTCATACATAAACATGGCCTGTTAGCTCAGCTGGTTAGAGCGTGGTGCTAATAACGCCAAGGTCGCGGGTTCGATCCCCGTATGGGCCAAGATGTTTTCATATGAACAGGAACTCTTCATAGTCCTACTAATACCAATAATTGTAATGACAAAAAACTATATACAGTAGGTAGGTTGTGTTCACAACCACAGCTTGCACCTTGAAAAACCATTACTAAATTCAAGCTATACTCACTCATGAATTAAAATAGCGCTGACACATTTCACCTCATCCTCATTTCCAATCAGTGCAAGTAGAAGGGTATATGTATAAGTTTGCTTCCAGTGGCAAAATTACATCTTCGGAAGTTCAACTGTGGTGAAAGAAGTATGTGTGGAGGAGAGATTGATTGTCATTGTGTTTAACATGCCATAAAATCTATGATACTGGCTCTGAAAAATACAAACTGCCCCGCATGAGAGATGCTGCCTGGCCGGCAGTGAGTTGAAGACAGGCATGGGGAAATGTAAGAAAATAGAAAATGTACCAATTACATTATATTTCGCTTTATTTATTATTAGCAGGCTAGCATTCAGTGTCTTTCTGTGTCTTTCTGTTGAAAAGGATACGATCTCCATTAATTATACATTTGACAGTAGTGAAAGTACCATAAAGAATTTAAAAAAAGATCTACAATCAGATTTGCAACCCAATAGCCTACTGCACATAGGCTAAAAAAATCAACTGATCTTTAACCTGTGGCTGATACAACATTCTCTATGCAACAAACCCACCACGTGACTGTGGGTGTGTGTTCAGTGACTTTTCTGTACCAGAAGTGTGTGCAGATTGTTCAAAAAAAGAAAAAAAAAGAAAAAATGCACCTCTTTTCATGTACCTAGGACTTTCTTTTCTGTTTGCAGTGGTTTTTCAAAGAGGTATTGAGTATTTTTATATTAGTGTTGTATTGAAGTTTAAAACTGTGCCTCACATATAACCAGAGGTGGAAAGTAGCTAAGTATGTTTGCACAATTCAAGGTACTTTACCTGAGTATTTAAATTTGATGCACTATTTTTTTTTCAGAGGGAAATATTGTGCTAATAATTACTTGTTACATTGCAGATGTTGAATGAAGATGAATTTTGGCTGCTATGTCATTATCCGACTTTTATTATAGTTTAAAGAAACCTTGATCCAGCACTGCGATGGGGTACACACACCTTGACATCAGGGAAGTAAGTCTTGAGTGTATTGGAGCTGGGATACCGTGTGTAGAAGAACATGAGCTTGGCTTTCTTCAGATGGCAGGGAGACAAGCCTTCCTGGGTGTATACATGAGGCCAGTTAAGGAGATACACATACGTCCTTTTTCACACACTCATGAACAAACACACATCGTTCCCTCATTCCTCCCCCCTTGCTGAAAAAAAGGATATTCCCCCAGCAGTCAGGAAGAGCTCTCCTCCATCCATCCCGCCTCCTCCCCTCATCCCCCCATCTCCCCTCATCCCTCTCTCCCTGCCTCCATGAGCGTGGCGTGCAAGGGAGGCGTCCAGGTGACCGAGCAAGGGGAGCGGTGGGAAAGAGGGGTGAGATGAGGGGTGAGACGAGAACTCCAAGAAAGGGTCGGAGTTCAAATAGTCCTTGCGGGATGGGGGGAGGTGGGGGAGCTGAGGGTGGTGAAGGGAGCGAGAGAAGAGCTGCTGCATGGAGTAGTGGAGAAGGGGGAGAGGGAGAGGGGGAGGAGGCGGAGGAGGGGGAGGGGGAGGCGCAGGGAAGGAAGATGAGGAAGAGGAAGAGGAGGAGGAGGATGGATGGAAGGTGGAGGAGAGGTCTTTGGGCTGTGAAGCCGGAGGCATGAGGGGAGGATGAGAAAGAGGAGGAGGGCGAGGTAGAGAGGGGTGATGGAGGGAGAGGCTCGGATGAGAGGGATTCAGGTGAGTAGAGAGAGGTGGGCC